AGATCTTTGCCCTATTTAATTTTATTCCCTTTACATATAGTACATTGTTAATTTAAGTCCCTCTGACATTAGGAACCATATGACAAAGCCAGAGGCTCGCATGTATGAAAAGGCCTCTGTAACTGTTAATGTACCTCTTGCCTGCAGCTTTTTTTCAAACCAGTTACCTGACCATTCAAGAGAACGTCACTTTGTGTCATCAAATGCATCCATAACTGCGCACAGTTTAAACTTGTTGCTATTCATTTTCCAAGGCATTGTCAATCGTTAATCAGTAAAGCTTTAAATAAATCGCATTTCTAAATAGTGCTTTTAACGAAGTTTAGGTGGCTTTTAAATTTGCCTTAATACACTCAAAATTCGCCATTTTGATCGAAACTCCGCTAAAAAGCCTCTTTAATAATTTTTTGTGTCTACAACCAATATTGCATTTGGCAATCCCCGCTGTTCAGCTTTCATGCGTAACTCGATCTCATACTGACTCAGTGCTTATAGGATTTGAGGTCTGTACCGTTCTCGGTGCCTTTGCACATGGAAGTGGACATCTTCTAATCTTACCTCCACTATCTCCACAACCACTTTCACTACCATCGAGGCAATCACAACTGTCTCTGGCTTAGAAAACCTATTCCCATTCAGCATTCCTCTCCACGTAGACTACGAACGCCTACCCTCTTCTGTCTCTACATCCTCATCCTCCTCCGCCGTCTTCACTAATTCAGCCCGTACCCAACATTACGACTGCTAACAAGACGATCATCCCCCATTATTCGACTTCCATTACCTCCTACTTCATGACCCCTACCGAATGCTGCCTACCATTGTCAAAATTGCTGCTCATCAAAATTATCGAAAAAGTTGGTAGATATCTCATGTCTCCTCACGCACTCCAGCCTTCATTCTGCTTCCTCCACACATTGCTAAAAGTCATCTATAGCATTCGGAAGGAGTGTGATCCGACCAACTGACACTGTTGTGTGAAGTTCGATGATGACGATATTGGGAGGTGAAGAAGGAGTCTGACTGTGACCTCTCCGACTTTCTGGCTGCACACTATGGGTCGAATATACATGAGCAGGAGGAGAGAAGGCGGTTTTCACCCTTCATATTGAAATACGCTCCTGTCACATTGCCATCCCTACCACTGTCTTTATACTTTTGTCGCTAGAACTATTAATAACTCAGTGAGATCGGTCGTCTCTGTGGAAGGCGATAATAAGGACTCTGCTTTTCTGCCTACATTAAATTATGTGAAGGAGCCTCTAACTTACATGGTATTGGAAGAGCTAGTTGGTGGTGTATATGCTCCCTTCAATTTTTTCATGACTTAAATTCCAGGTAAATGCTATTAGTCCTGTTTGTCATTAGCAGCCACTGAATAAGTGATCAGCCATCCGATTCTACCTGACTTTCCTGCGATCAAGGCAGCAATAGTAAGCGCCCAGAGAAAGAGTAGGGAGGAGAATTTGGTGCTGCTATTAAAATGATTGATAGCACAGGAAATCCCGTGATACACCAAATGACATGCTTTGTGCAAATATCTCTATGACAAATGATGTGCAGTTGGCATAATACAGTTCACTAAACATACCATTAGTGAACAGGCTTCATGCTGAATGCTACATATTTCAATTATTGGAAAGGATTTTTTATTAAACTTATACCTTTTGAGGAAACAACGTGTAGAAGTTGCATTCACCTGCCGATGTAATCCAGTGCTGCTATTAATACATCCATTTCCTCCTCTGACCGCTGTTTTAGGCAG